GTTTGAGGTACTTTTTCCGGAGCCTCTCCGGTATCTTCCGAGTGCCTCAATATAGCTTAGTGGCACACTGCCAGTGCTGTTGGAATCGTTCCAGCCAAAACCGTTTTCCCGCCCAGTGGAAATTAGGATTGAATCCGCCCATATATTCACTTTTCAAGCCATTTTTGTGATGTGCGATAGCAGAGGGCCGCTGGTTCTGACTCGTTTCCAACACCTCCATACCGCTCGTATTTCTTTTTAAGATAAACTTCGAAGGAGCTAAAGTTTGCGCTGAAGTTATTTGAGTTTTTTGTTTAATGCGTGTTCCTTGTATAAAACACGGTACTAACGCTTATTTTATGCTTTCGCTCCTGTAAGGCTGTACTTTTTCTTATGAAATTATAAGGCAATCTGTGAACCGTATTAGTTTTATTTGCATGGTGCATAGGTCGGTTTTAAGAATCTGTACGAAAGCGCTGAAGACGCAACTCTCGAAGTGTTCTGCCTTGCAGTAATAGTGTCGGTGAGGAATGAGTGGCTTTTTAACTGGAACTGAGAGTTAGAGTTACCGACCTGTAACTTTTTCAAAAATGAACATTGTTTTTTACTGTTATTTGTTTTCTCGTTACTTACTACTTTACGTTTTTCCAGGTAGTACAAAAACTTCACTGTTCATTGCTATCAAAATTTTCAGGGCATGACATTAGTTTTACGCAGAAGTATTAAGTTACTTGTCAGCAGTTGAGGGGAAACTGGTAATGCATTCTTTGGAGGTACTACGTTCCTCATGCTCCATCACTTGGCCTCAAACCGTCGTATTTTTGTGACTATTCTTTAACAGAAGGGGACTCATTTTATGCTTTGCCAGCCGTACGCTACCATGTAGTTTGTCCAACAATGTCATTGAAGTGTACTGGTAAAAAGAAAGCGTTTAGAAGCTTTAAAAGAAGCAAAGAATTAATCTCAAGGTAACCGCTTAATAAATTTGAACAAGTCACTATTTTAATAAAACTCGTCTTCCTCCAGAATTCCTGTATGCTTGTCTATCTAGAACTAATTGCTTCTTCACCAACATTTCGATAGAAATTACGGGCTTTATCACTTCTTCCCTTCAGCTGATTTGATTGGCGTTTAGTTCGTCAAAAATTAAATCCGCCAATAAAATGAATGCGTGGATCTTTTCAACTCAGTCTTATCAAAGACGCATTGAAAGAAACCAGAGGCTAATTTCATTAGCTAGAGAGCAATTCACTTGGATAATCAGCTGTGGATTGCCAACCTGCTAGTAATCGGAATCCAAGGATTTGCCACCATTTTTCGTGCCTACATTTTTTATCTTCAAAAAACTTTTCGTGCCTGAATACTTTGATGTTGTTGTTGGACGGACTAAAACATAACGTGTAACTAGGATAAGTAGGAGTTAAAGCATTAAAATCTCTTTTCAAAGAAATCATAAAAATACAACCACAACTAGTTGAGACCAACTTCAACTTACAGTTTCAGCCGAAAAAGTTATTCTCCTTCTAATACTGTAAGAGAGCGTACTTCACGACCTCTCTTACCAACGCCTTTGTGCTTCCAACTGTGAAACACAAACATACGAAGAA